TTGAACATTTAAGGGGCAGGCGGTGGGATGGATGGTGGATGGATGGTGGTTGAGTGGGTGGATGGTGGTTAGGTGGGTGAGTGTTTGGTAGGTGGGTGGTTGAGTGGGTGGGTGGTGGGGCGGGTGATAGATTGAGACATTTGGTGGTTGGATGGATGGTGGGTGAGTGAGTGGATGAATGAATGAATGAATGAATGAATGAATGAATGAATGCACGGACACACACACACACACACACACACACACACACACACACACACACACACACACACACACACACACACACACACACACACACACACACACACACACACACACACACACACACACACGCAGTGATGCAAACAGACAGACAAGACAAACTACGCGAAGAAAAAAAGAAAAGCGGAAGAGTCGCACAAACAGCGGTAGTTAGGGAGAGAGAAAAAAAAAACCGGGTGCGCTTTGACCTCCGATGCAGCTGAAGAGGCAACACCTATTCTCCCTCCTCCCTCCCCTCCCTTCTCTTCCTCCCTCCCTCTCTTCCTCTTCTCTCCCCCTTTTTCTCCCCTCCCCCACTCTCCTTTCTTCCCCTCCCCCTCCTCCTTTTCTCCTCCCGCCCCCTCCCTTCTCTTTCCATCTTTCCCTCCCCACTTTTCCTCCTCCTTCCCCTCCCCCTCCCCACTCTCCTCCCTCCCTCTTCTCTTCCTCCCTCTTTCCCCTCCTCCCACTCTCCTCCTGCGCCTCCTTCCCCTTCTCCTCACTCCTCCCTTCCTCTCCGCCCTCCCTCTCCCCTCCTTCCTTCCTTATTTATTCTCGCAGTTCTATTTTCTTCTCGTTTTCTCTTTCTTTCTTTCATTCTCGCTATATGACTCTTCGCTCCTCTCTCTACTCTCTCTCTTCTCTCCTTTCCCCTTCCACGTCTCATTTTCCTTCCTGCCTTATCTTTCTTACCCTTCCTTTCGTTCCTTTTCCCCTTTTCTCAGCTATCTCCCGTCCCTTTCACTTTCCCTTTCCTACCTCTCCCTTCCCTCCTTATCTCCTTCCACCCTACCCTCCCTCCCCCTTCCCCTCCTCCTCCTCCTCCCCTCCCCTCCCCCTGTTCACCCTTCACCCTTCCCCCTCCCCCTTTCCCCTCCCCCTTCCCCCTCCTCTTCCCCTGTTCTCTCCACCCTTCCCCCGTCTCCCCTCCCCCCCCTCTCCTTACAAGGTCTCCCCCGCGCAAAGGTCCGCGACGCTAAGACTTGTTCCGTATCTGCCGATTGTCGTGAAGGGAAGGAGTCGTCGTGGGTACGATTTTGTCTCCCTGTCTGTTTGTCTGTCTGTCTCTTTCTTTCTCTTTCTGTCTCTGTCTTCTTTTTTCTCTCTTCTTCTCTGTCTGTCTCTGTCTGTCTCGCTCTGTGTGTGTGTGTGTGTGTGAAGGTCTAGGGTTTATGTGCGTATTAGAGTGGGGATGAGGATTTTGTGTTTGTGGGTGTATTTAGAGAGAGAGAGAGAGAGAGAGAGAGAGAGAGAGAGAGAGAGAGAGAGAGAGAGAGAGAGAGAGAGAGAGAGAGAGAGAGAGAGAGAGAGAGAGCGAGAGAGCGAGACAGACAGAGGAAAGAAAAGAAAGAGAGAGAAAGAGAAGAAGAGAGAAAGAAAGAAGAAAGAGAGGGAAAGAGACAGAGAGACAGAGACAGAGAGAGAGAGAGAGCAGGCAGTCAGTGAGAGCGAAAGTGAGAGAGAGGGAGGAGGGTAATTTTTTTTTTTCAAGGGTTGGGGGCAGAGGAATGAAACCATGAAGAAAATGCGAAAGTGAAAGGCAAAGGAATGGGCAGGAAAGGGAAAGGAAGAGACAGAGACAGAGACAAGAGGAGACAGAAGAAAGAAAGAAATATTTACTGATAAGGAAAAGCCAATGCATTAGCGATAATCGTCGATAAAAAAGGAAATAAGAATGGTGGAAACAGAATAAGAATAATAATGAAAGTGGATATAATAAGATGAATTTCCAAAATGTTAAAAACGAAAAGAAAGAAAGAAAGAAAGAAAGAAAGAAAGAAAGAAAGAAAGAAAGAAAGAAAGAAAAAGAGAGAAAGAAAAGTAAAGTAAAGGATAAGAGAGGGAAGGGGAAGACTTACGGAGAATTAGGAAGAGAGAGTGAGAAGATATTTATGATCAGCTGAAAAAGGGATTTACATGCATTATCTTTCGTAAAAGGATTTCATGCACGGACAAGAAAGAGGATTTTTTTTCTTTTCTTTTCTTTTCTTCATTCGCGGTTTTAAAAAAAAATAACAGATTGTGATTATCTCGTAAAGGATTCGGTTTGCATATTCGATAGAGGAGAGAGAAGAGAACGAAAGAGGTAAAGGGGAAAATAAGATAATAAAAATAGACACGGTTAGATACGCAGTGGATGTAGAATGGTAGATGTCGGGTAGATACACAGGTATGAAATAGTAGGACTCGGGTTGTTATACAGGTATGGTAGATGTCGGGTAGATAGACAACTATAGACTAGATGTCGGGTAGATAGACAGGTATGGAATGGTAGATGTCGGATAGATAAACAAGCATAGAATAGATGTAAGGTAGATAGACAGGTATGGAATGTCGTCTACCATGTATAGAATGGTAGACGACTATATAAACAGATAGAGAATGGTAGACGGCGGGTAGACAGGTAGAGCAGAAAGTAGGTCGGAGAGGTGACCAGGTAGAGTTAGGAATGCATGCCCAATTAAGCGGTAGAGAAATGTAGATGGGTGGCCGCTGTTGTTGTTGCGGGGTTCGTGCCGTGTGCAAAAGGCAGCGAGGTGTAAATATGGTGAGGAGGAGAGGAAAGAAAGGGGGAGGAGGAAGAGAAGAAGGGGAAGGGGAAGGGAAAAGGAGAAGAGAAGGAGAAGGAAGAAGAGAAGGGAAGGAGAAGGAGAAGGGGAAGGGGAAGGGGAAGGGGAAGGGGAAGAAGGGGAAGGGGAAGGGGAAGGAGAAAGGAGAAGGAGAAGGAGAAGGAGAAGGAGAGAGAAAGGAGAAGGGAAGGGGAAGGGGAAGGGAAGGGGAAGGGAAGGGGAAGGGGAAGGGGAAGGGAGGGAGGGGAAGGAGAAGGAGAAGGAGAAGGAGAAGGAGAAGGAGAAGGAGGAGAAGGAGGAGAAGGAGAAGGAGAAGGAGAAGGAGAAGGAGAAGGAGAAGGAGAAGGGAAAGAAGAAGAAGAAGAGAAGAAGAAAAGAAGAAGAAGAAGAAGAAGAAGAGAGAAAGGAAAAAGATAAGGAAAGAAGAAAAGAAAGAAAGAAAGAATGGAAGAAGGAAGGAAGGAAAAAGAAAGAGGAAGGAAGAAAAAAACAAGAAGAAAAAGAAAAGAAAAAAGAAGGAAAGCATGGAAAAGCATAGAAAAAAAGAGCAGTCAGGCGTGACAAGATAAAAGTTTAATCTGCACTCGTGGTTTACGGTTTATTTATTTATTTGTTTGTTTGTTTTTTCTTCTGATTTTTTTCTTCTTGTTTCTGCGTTTTTGTGTTAGAGGGAAAGTTGTCTTCAAGTATGTTGATAGGGAGATTGTGATACGTAAAAGTGTTGCTGTGTGGCTGGTCTTTCTCACCTTTCAGTTTTACCTTCTGCTACTTTGTCCGTCTGTCTGTTTCTCTGTCTCTGTCTGTCTGTCTGTTTCTCTCTTTCGTCTCTAGTCTGTCTGTCTGTCTTGTCTCTCTCTCTCTCTTTCTCTTGTCTGTCTCTTTTCTTTCTCTTTCTTTCTTTCTTTCTTTCTTTCTTTCTTTCTTTCTTTCTTTTCTTTCTCTCTCTCTCTCTCTTCTCTCTCTCTCTCTTTCTCTCTCTCTCTCTCTCTCTCTCTCTCTCTCTCTCTCTCTCTCTCTCTCTCTCTCGCACTTTCTCTCTCTGCCTCCATTTGTCTCACTCACGATCACACATTTGGGGCGATTATTTCTGTTTCTGCATCTCATGTAGACGCCGAGATTTGAGTATACATGACGTACACACATACGCACATGACGTACACATACGCACACGCGTTCTTCCCGCCATATATACTTGTGTACGGATGTGATGTATACATGTGCATCCCCCCCCACTCCCCCACCCCCATACCCGCAGTGAAAAGATTGGGAATGGGGAATAAAAATAGAGTGATAATGAGAATGAGGAATAAGAAAGGGAGTGAATGTGAGAATGGAAGAAAAGGAGAAAATGAGAATAAGGAAGAAGAGTGAAATGAGAATGAGGAAGAAAGAATGAGTGAAAATGAGATTGAGAGTGAATGAGAGGCGAGCGTTAAAGGGGACAAACAAACAACGAAGTATGAGAGATAAATAGAATAGATAGAAACGCGAACGAATGAATGAAAGAACAAAAGAAAGAGAAAAGGTAAGGAAAAGTGAATACGGAAAAGTGTGATTGATCAATAGATAGAGAAATAAAAGAGATCGATAGATAATGAAGGTAGATAGAGAGATAAGATGCAGATGGATATACATACGAATGCACGTAAGTAGGCGCGCGCCCCCCCCCCCCCCACACACAC